TAGATAGATAGATAGATAGATTATATATTTAGATATATTTATATATAGATGGATAGATAGATAGACAGACAGACAGACAGATAGATAGATAGATAGACACACATATCCTATATGCATATGCCTGCACACAGGCACGCCCAGCACATGTGTTTTGGCAGGAAAGTAAGCATCACATGGCCCACCAAACCCCAAACTCTAGGCCAAAATTGGCTAGTGGAAGCAGCTTCGACCGCGTTTTGAGGCTTGCACTTGCAACCGCAGCAAACAACACACATGTTTTCTGGGTTGGGCCCAAATTCCCCAATGGCGAGCTTTGGCGCCAGTAAGCTGCAACAAGAAATGAAGCGTGGCAGGAGAGGGAGGTCCTGGAGGGCACGGGCAGAGAGATGGATCCACGACAGGCAGCGCACCTGGTATTGGTCACTCCTATCAGTTGGAGGCTGAGTTTTCGTGTTGCGGATCTTACTTCCCAGAGGCGCCGACCGCCTTGAAAGCTGAAGCTGCAGCGGTCACCAAGCAGGTGAGGCAGTTGTTATATATAATATATATACACATACAAAAAAGTATTTGCATGTTCGCATGTCACATGCAATTTTCTGTTCAGAAAGAGCCATTGGGTGCTTCAGCTTTTGACATTTCATTGCTTCCAGGCCGATATGATGGAAAGCCAGGCCGGCACGTCTCCCGCCACCTTGCGTAGTGTGTTACCCAACAGGCTGCCACTCGACCTTTCCGTGAGCAGGCAAAGCACCGGGCCCCGCCGATTGGCAGACTGAGTCTCGAGGCAAGGCTGCCGGTTGTTGCCGAAGACTTGTTGACAGGCCCTACAGCTATGGAACTGATCCCAGGTATGCGTACCATTTTTCTTTAGTTCAATCGAGCAAAGCAGATGTTTCGTCCAAACAACTAAAATTCGTCAATCGCAAAGGGGGACCAGCAGCACACGACCAGCAGAGGCATGTAGCCACAGACATCTCATTCCACTCAGCGGGTGTGCGTGCAGGCTGAGTTGATGAATCCCCTGTTAACAGGCCTACTCCGCAAAAATAGTAGATGGAACGTGTTTCTAGGGTTGTGCCATCAATATTTTGGGCACCTGCAAGCCTCTACCGGTGAGAGCTCATCTTCTTTGTGCCATCTATTTTTTCCAGACTTGGGAGGGCTAAATCATCAACCTCAAAAAACCTTGTGCCATCTACTTTTGCCTGACCATGCCCCGGAGATTGTGCCATCTACTTGGCTCTTATCGTGCACTGGTCTGAAAGCTAGGCCAATGGAGTGTGAAGTGGGTGCAGAAGGAAAAGGGAAAGGCAAGGGAAAGAGAGGGAAAGGAGAAGTGAAGGAAAGGAGAGGAGAGGGAAAGGGCAGGAAAGCAAAGGAGATGAAAGGAAAGGATACAAAAAGGAAAGAGCAAGAAAGAACAGGAAAGGGAAGGGCAGGTAATGAGAAGTGAAACAAAGGAAACACAAGGACAGGAAAAGGAAAGGATGCAGGCATGAGCAGGAGAGGGAAGGAGGGGGAAACCAAAAGGAACCACAAGGAACACCAATAGCAATCATCAGGAAATCAAATGGTTTCAACAGGAAATCACTAGGCACCAACAGGAAATCCATAGCCATGAATGGACACAGAAAGGAATCCACAG